TGTGGCCTATTTTAATAATTTTCCCTATTTTGGGAGAATTTTGGGGGGTTCATTGCAAGCAAAGAGGCTAATTTTAGATATATGACAAGTGATGAACGTGAATTTTCTAAATCTTAGGGTGTCACTTGACCCTATATCGTTAGTCATGAGTTTGCCTCTGCTCAGCGCTATACCGCAAGGATCTTGTAGCACGAAACAGAGACAAACGATGCATGTGGACCAAATCAAGTTCGTATGGACATCGACAAACGAAATTAACCACTGTAAGCAGTATTCTAAAAAGCATTCTAGACATCTGTTTAGGCGGCGCTTAGGCGCTAGACCTCTATAGACCATAGCGATTATCGTCTAAAATATTATGATATTATAATAATAAAATAATATCAATTTTTTTATAGAAAATTTGTAGTATTCTATATATTTTGCAATAAAATAATGAATATAAACACAATATAAATTTTATTATTTATAAATTATGGTTTTTTATATATTTTATTATATATCTAATATATTATGTATCTTTGTAAAACGATTAGACCGTCTATTAAATTGTCTAGACTCCGATTAGGCGTTCTAGACACTAGGCATTATGTCACCGCCCGCTTAACGTCTAGCGATTTCTTGAACATTTACTATAAGTGTTTCTTATAATCTTGCATTTTAACCCCATATATTATGTTTCCTTAAATTAGCCCCATATTTCCTGTAAGTTTCGATTTAGTATACTCCTCTATTTGGGTTTGAGATTGAATCCAACTTCTTCTTTTTTTTGTCGACAACTCGCTTATCATAGATAAAGTCTATAGGGTAGCTACAAAATGATTAAAACCCAAAAGAGGATTACGGCCCACTAAGCTAAATCAAATTTTACAACAAAATAAAACTAAATACGCACAAGTGATTTAGTAGAAGAAACGTGGATTTTCTCAAAGACACGTGTCAAAAGATCTAGCATCACCGCTAACCATCTACGGCCATCGCTGAAATCCAATCGGCCTCCGCAAACCCCCTTCCCTTCTGGCGATCTCTAATCCCTTCGAATAAACGCCAAGATCTACCTGAACATCATGAGAATCCGCTTCAAAAATCTTCGAGAACACCAACAATTCCGGAGAAGCTCCATCACCGACTATGATGTAATCTGCATGTTTACTCTACATCTTGAGCAAAGGAAAGAGACGAAGATATTACTCCTTGAGAAACTGAAGGAAACGAATAAATTTTCGAGAAACTTGGAGAAACTTGACGGGATAAAGCAAAGAGAGAAAAGAGATCTAGAGATTGAAATCCAACTTTTCTTCATTAGATTCCACACGATATTTTATTTTTATTTTGCAATACATTTTTAGAACTCCGGGGCTTGTTTTGGTAGGAATAGAAAATTACAGGGGCCTAAATAAAAATAAAAGTAATGATGACCAAATCATTATTGGATGAGACCACTATGAAAACTACTTGTCTGTCTCGTTATGACTTATACCCAGTGAAATCCAAAATTTCTGGTTCCTATTACAGGACAAGAAATCAATATGTTCCTATTACATAAGTCTATTTCTCTAAAGACTTCATGATTCATTCGAATGATCCTTCCAGAATCATCACCAGCATCACAATCTAAGAACATTTGCTTAGTC